TCTTCAGGAGGGCAAGTGGTTAAAATAGAAATGAAAGGCAAAACATTTGTGTATAGGTATAAAAACATTACAAATACCTTTTTTTCCCCTTTTTTTAATAAGTGAGCACATACCCTCTGTTCTCAGCTGCATAGGAGCTGGGGAAGGAGAAACAGCATCACACTAATCTTCCCAATGAATGGCTGCGTGCGTGCGTGTGTGTGTGTATGTGTGTGTGTGTGTGTGTGTGGGGGGGGGGGGGGGGGGTGTAGCCTGATCATTGGAGCGAAAGCTCAGTCTCCAGAACAGCTAGAGAATTGACCACACTGTGCTCTCATGCCTAGTGTGGTCAGTTTTTAATAGGAACGCAGAGGGACTGGCAGGAAAATCAGGGATTTCATACAAAGGAAGCAGTACAAAGAGAACAGGATACTTCTTCACATAGGTACATGGAACAGCAGGCACATATCAGGAATATGAAATGTTCAGTTTACATATTCATTAAGACGTCCATAGATGGATCAGAATTCTGCTGGTTCAGCAAGAACCGGACGAATTTCAATCCATCTATGGGCAGGCTGGTTGTACAGATGTCAATCTATCGATCGACTTCAGTACAATCAGCCTGTCTGTTTTTCTTTCATTTGAAACCCCCCCCTGCTGTCAGAACAGAGCAGTGGGAGGGATTCCTCCATCAATACTGACTGTGCTGATGATGGGGGATTTGAACAATGCTTTCTTTCAACCTGCAGCTGAAGGAAAGAAAATTGCATAATGTATGGCCTGCCTTAGAGTTTTTTCTTGTAATCAGAAACAGTCTGCGTAGAAAAATATGTCTCCTGCCAGCAGCTGTAGATTAGGACTTTTGATCTGTATATGGAAAAAGTGATCTGTTTTCAGGGGTTCAATACAGCAAGTGTTCCTGATCTCAGAGCTTTAGGTCTAAATTGGCAAACCTCTGCAATTAGATTGCTGATTTCACACAGACAGCATGAGCCCCACTCTGCAGCATGCTGGCAGGGGCAGGCTTTTTACTCAGGCTGTGGCTGCTTTACAAAGATAAAGAACTGTTAGGCTGGCCATACACTATACAATTTTCTTCCAATTTTCTGTCCAATTTCCACCCAATTTCATTTAGATTTACCTTCAATTATGTAGTGCAAGGGTCTGCCTAATTGGATACAATTGAAAGTGTTGTTTAGGTTTGACCTCATATTATATGGTTGTTGGTAAAATCTAAAGCAAAAATCTCAAGAAAATTGTATAATGTATGGCCATCCTAAAGCAGGCCATAGATGGGTCGAAAATCGGCCATTTTTAAAAAAAAACAAAAACAAAAAATGGTCGTTCAATCGGCCGCCGTTACCACCAACGGTAAAAGAATCGGCCGATTTTTGTCCCGTCTACAGTCAGCATTTTTACTTCTGTCCCTTGCAGAGAGCTCCGCTATTATATTTTACATGAAAAAGGTCTTGCGATTGCAACAATGTATCCATTTGTATCCATTTCGGATACAGATGGTTTTATTTGGATACAAATAGATACATTGTTGCAATTGCAAGACTTTTCATATAAAATATAATAGCCGACTGGAATTCTTCTTTTTCTTCTTCTTTCTTTTTTCTTCTTCTTGCAGGTCACGTCTCATGCGTAGATTTTTTTATCGGTAAAACGATCGGCCGATTTGCCCATCATTGCCGGGAAAATCGGGCGATATTCAAAATCGGCCGCGAATTTTCCAACTTTACCAAATAAAAAAAATGTGCCAAAACCCCAAAAAAAAACAGCCGACCAATTAACCCACTAATGGTGTGAAAATCGGCCGATTTTCGACCTGTCTATGGTCTGCATTAGAATTTGAACACCTTTTGTTTTGATGCGCCTGGAATGTACTTAGCCACACCTCCCAGCTTTCTGAGATAGGAACGAGGGACACCTATTAGCAAAAGTATGTAGGTATAGGACACACCCCCTGCCACGCCCTCTTAAAGGAGAGTTATACCAAAAAAAATTGTTCGTTAAACCCACAAGTAGTTTTTTTTGATCACTACTATTCCTTTATATTGGCTTTGGAAATTTACAAATGCAGCAATTTAGAAATTAGATGAAAGGTTTAGCACTGTAAAATACTTTTTGAAAGATAAAAAGTGCATTTTATATACAACTAGAAAAGTTACAATTTCTGGGGAAATTGTGTGACGTGTTCTTGCCTCCACCAGTAGTCTACAACTGGAGTGGGCGGAGTAACTGGGTGGAGTGACTTGAGTATCTATTGTGTGGTTGGAGTGGCTGGAGTAACTGTGAAAAGGTTGGACTGGGCAGAGTAACTTTATGGAGTGGGCAGAGTAACTGTGTGGAGTGTTTGGAGTGAGTAAAGATAGTAAACATTACACTAACCAATTGATTGATCAGATTTAAAAAGTTCACATGGCAAGCTTGATAGAGTGAGAAATGCATTTCAACTTTTATTTTTCAGCTCACAGTCTAGCTTTTGTCACTCTGCTGCCTGCTCACACACCTGGGTTCCTATGGCAACTCACTCTACAGCAAGGGCAGAGAATAGCAGTTAAAAACAAACTGCTCCAACTTGCTCACTTCACTGGCGTTTGCCATCTTCAAACAGTTGTAGTTTAAAAATTGTAACTCCTACACCGAAGAGCTTTATATTGTGAGAATCACAAGACCCAGACCTACATTTTGCTGCATAGTATGTCTCTGAAATATTAAAAATGAAGGCACAGGCGCAGTTTAGAAATTGCCCTTTAAATTTGAGGTGTCTAGAGTGGAGTTTCAATGAATGTCAATGGGCGGCATGAGTTGGAAACAAATGGTCATATTGTGAAAACTATCAGGACTATGGCTTAGCCGTGGACATTTTTAGTGGCAGCAGGGATAGCTAAACGTTTTGATATAAGATTTGTGTAGGTGGGCTTGAAAATGAAGGAGTGATGTCAGTTTAGAAATCATGTCCTGATTTTTCAGCTCCCACTCTAGCTTTTGTCAGCTCCCACTCTAGTTTTGAACATTCCGCCATTCATTCCCATGGGACCAATTTCACCACAAAAACGCCAATATTTTGTGAACCATTCGGCGTAACGTTCCACAAAGTAATAACACACCAATCGAGAACAATCTGCACGTTTCGGTATATTACTGTCTATGTAGTGTAAAACCTGTGGGAGGAGTTAGGGTGGTAAATTTGGCTATAATAATAAGAATATATATGTGATATAACAGTAAGTGGTCTTGCCATGTAAGAACACTTAAATATATAGATCAGCCCAAAATGAGGGACAATTGATTAGAAAAGAAGGACAGAGGGACTTTTCTCCAAATGAGGGACAGGCCCTCGAAATCAGGGACAGTTGGAAGCTATGATTTAGCTGATTTAGTCACACTGGATGTGAATTGGCATGTGATTTGCATGCCATACAACTTGCAAATTGCATGCCAAGTCGCACCCTATTGTCTGCAATTAGTGCGGTCATTGGTGCGGTTCCAATTTCTAAAGCAGCACATGCACTACGTTTGGTGCTATTTGCATAGATGTCTGTGTCAGATGTCTTGCAAATCGCACATGAAATCAGCAGGTCATTCGACTTTGAAATCATGCGACTTCACTGTAAGTCGCATGATTTCAAAGTCGGGTTTGATGTGACCGGGGGGTTAAACTGAAGGTTCAATCAGCATAAAAAATTACTGCTATATCATTTTGCTCCATGGTTTATGATAAAAAAATACTAAAGAAACTCTGTAGGTTATTTTTTTTTATTACATCGTCACTATTACAGAAATCTTCCATGTAAAGAGGAAGTTCAACCCTGAGATCAGCAGTGTTTGCAATCCTCCTTTCACAGAGTTCCACTTTCATGTTTCTTTATAATTAAAACCTGAACTCCAGGCAAACAGACGAGATAGATATATGGGAGCTGTGTTAGCTGCCAAGGGGTTTGTATTTCTGTCTGTCCATTTCTGAGAGTTAGGCTGGCCAAACATTATACAATTTTCTGTCCAATTTCTGTCCAATTTTCTTTAAATTTACCGTCAACTATGTAGCACAAGAGCCTGCCTAATGGGATACAAGTGTTGTGAGTTTTGACCTCCTATTATATGGTTTTTGGTAAATCTATACCAAAAATATCAAGAAAATTGTATAATCTATAGCCAGCCTAACACAGCTATGCCACACTGCATAACCATGTCTAGTAGGGCAGGAGATCTGATTGTTCTTTACTGTAGAGAAGGTAACCCTTGCTAAAGCTGGCCATACACTATACAATCTGCTGTCCAATTTCTACCCAATTTCCTTCAACTATGTAGTGCAAGGCTCTGTCTAATTGGATACAATTGAAAGCGTTGTTTAGGTCTGACCTCATATTATATGAATTTTGGTAAATCTAAAGCAAAATTCTCAAGAAAATTGTATAATATATGGCCAGCCTTTGTGGTTAGCCCTTCTGCCTAGCAGCACTGGGGTTGTAGGTTCAAATCCCACCCAGGATGCTACCTGCCTAGAATTTGCATGTTCTCCCTGTGCCTGCATGGGTTTACTCCGTGTATTCCAGTTTCCTCCCACACTCCAAAGACATGCTGTCGGTTCCTTGGCTCCTGTGTAAATTGGCCCTGGTATGTGTATGTATGAATGTGAGATAGGGACTAATATGAATGTACAACAGATTCATATGTAAAGCGTAGATTGATGGTGCTGTATAAGTATCTGTAATAAATACATTTTTCATTTCCACATGTTATTTCTAGCATACTCCTAATGATCTGAATGATCTTGAAGTTTGTACACTTTGTGAAGATCCCCACACATTTACTTCTTGATTTCTGTGACACGTAATCACTATACTACTTCCATGCTTCCTTATAGCAGAAATACTGCTACAGGGTGTCATATGCAAAAAATCACATATATATGCATGATTTTGCAGTAACACGTGGCGCCGCCATTCGTGGCCTTGGCTGTCAATCACTGGGTCCTGGCTGGTGATTCCCTGTCGGCACCTGGTGAACTGCGAGGATTTCCGACAGGGAAGACACCTGTATATAAATAATACAGTTCTCTCCCCTGTCAGCTTCTGCACACTTCTTTTATGGCTCTGCATAGCCGAACCATACAAAGCAGTGTGCTTACAGTGAAACACACACACAGTACACATAGTAAAACAGCACACAGTTAACCCTTTGATTGATCACCCCACATGTTAACCCCTTCCTGCCCAGTGCCATTAGTACATTGTCTGTGCTTTTTATTAGCACTAATCACTTTATTAGTGTCGCTGGGGATGTCAGTGGCAGTTAGTCCGTTCCCCCCAGTGTCAGAATGCCCACCACAGTCCTGCTATAAGTCTCTGATCGCTGCCATTACTGTTAAAAAAAAAAAACAAAAATCCCAGTATATATACCACCATTTGTAAATGCTATAACTTTCACGTAAACCAATTAATTTACACGTATTGGGTTTTTTTTTTTTTAACAAAGACATGTTGCAGAACATATTTAGGCCTAAATTTAGAACGAAATTAGATTTTTTACATTTTTTACTGGACATGTTTAATAGCAAAAAGTAAAAGAAAAAAGTAACTTTTTTTCAAAACTGTCCGTCTTTTTTTGTTTATAGCGCAAAAAATAAAACCCGCACAGGTGATCAAATACCACCAAAAGAAAGCTCTATAAAAAAGGACGTAAATTCTATTTGGGTGCAGCATTGCATGACTGTGCAATTGTCAGTTAAAAGAATGCAGCGCCATATCACAAAACAATGGCCTGGTCAGGAAGGGGGGGGAAATCCTCAGGAGGGCAAGTGGTTAAGTAAACTTTTATCTGGTTGTCAACCATAACTATTGTTTGTATTGCTATTACAATTCTGAGTTTGTTTGTTTTTTTAACAAATGAAACTGTATGAGATGACTGTGGATTTCCTGTAAATTCACAGCCTGTGACTGGTGAGTGAAAACGAAGCAGCAAACTGAGCTCATCTCTGTCACTTTGCTCTCTCCTCCTATGAACATGTTCCTTGTTAGCACAGGAGGGCTGTAGCACGGCCTGCTCTTTCTGCTTCTTGTTGAACAGGGGTGTGCAAGAGTCTGATTCCAAGTCAAACTCAGGTACTTACACTGCTTGCTTTTAACAAAAGTGCATGTAGTGCTAGTTATCTATATATAATAGCTATATGATTTGTGTTTCTCCTATCTGCCTGGAGTTGGATCTGTCAGAAACTCGGCCAATACAAAGTAAAAAATAATAGAAGGAAAAGTACATTAAAGTCGTAGTAAATTGTAAAGCACGTGTCAAGCACAAGGCCTGAAGGCTGAATACGGCCCACCAGGCCATTTCATATGGCCCTCTCACATCTCCTGCAGCTGCAGCACCCCCTTTATGTCTTGTCTCAGTGAGAAAGGAGAACAGAACTCCTCCGACAGATCCTGCACTTCTCTTTGCAGCCACAGCACACCTCGTCAGCACCTCCCCTGGTCTCAGCATTCAGCTGACTCCAGCCCTCCTCTGGTCCTCCTCCTGACCCTGCCCTTACTGCTTTCCAGCTCTGCCCCCAGCCTCTTCTCTGGCAGCAGCAGCACAAGGTAAGGGGGTGCAGTGTGATCAGACAGGACTGTGCTCAGACTGGACACCATGGCAGTCTACAATACTTTCTTGTGGATGATACCAGAGGGGTGCCACCCTGCTTTTCAGACTTGCATCATCTGCTACAGGAGAGTGTGCTCCATGCCAGTCTGCACCCCCTCCATTCATAGATCACATTTTATTCATAAAAGCTATAGACCAGCTGCACCGGATAATTGAAAGGTCCATCCCCTCCATTCATAGACCGTGTTTCATTCATAAATGCTATAGAACACCTGCTCCAGATGATTGAAAGGTCCAAACACTCCATTCATAGATCACATTTCATTCATAAAAGCAATAGAACAGCTGCTCTGGATAATGCAAAGGTCCACCCCCTCCATTCATAGATCACGTTTTATTCATAAAAACTATAGAACAGCTGCTCCAGATAATTGAAAGGTTCCTCCCCCTCCATTCATAGATCACGTTTTATTCATAGAAGCTATAGAACAGCTGCTCCGGATAATGGAAAGGTCCACCCCCTCCATTCATAGATCACAATTCATTCATAAATGCTATAGAACAGCTACTCCTGATAACTGAAATGTCCACTCCCTCCATTCATAGATCACGTTTCATTCATAAATACTATAGAACAGCTGCTCTGGATAATTAAAAGGTCCAACCCCTCCATTCATAGATCACATTTCATTCATAGAAGCTATAGAACAGCTGCTCTACATAATGGAAAGGTCCACCCCCTCCATTCATAGATCACGTTTTATTTATAGAAGCTATAGAACAGCTACTCCAGATAATGGAAAGGTCCACCCCCTCCATTCATAGATCAGGTTTTATTTATAGAAGCTATAGAACAGCTACTCCAGATAATGGAAAGGTCCACCCCCCCTCCATTCATAGATCACGTTTTATTCATGGAAGCTATAGAACAGCTGCTCTACATAATAGAAAGGTCCACCCCCTCCATTCATAGATCACGTTTTATTTATAGAAACTATAGAACAGCTACTCCAGATAATGGAAAGGTCCACCCCCTCCATTCATAGATCGCGTTTTATCCATAGAAGCTATAGAACAGCTACTCCAGATAATGGAAAGATCCACCTCCTCCTTCATAGATCACTTTTTTATTCATAGAAGCTATAGAACAGCTGCTCTACATAATGGAAAGGTCCAACCCCACCATTCATAGATCACATTTTATTCATAGAAGCTATAGAACTGCTGCTTCGGATAATTGAAAGGTCCACCCCCTCCATTCATAGATCACGTTTTATTTATAGAAGCTATAGAATAGCTACTCCAGATAATGGAAAGATCCACCTCCTCCATTCATAGATCACGTTTTATTCATGGAAGCTATAGAACAGCTGCTCTACATAATGGAAAGGTCCACCCCCTCCATTCATAGATCACATTTTATTCATAGAAGCTATAGAACAGCTGCTCTGCATAATGGAAAGGTCCACCCCCCTCCATTCATAGATCACGTTTCATTCATAAAAGCTATAGAACAGCTGCTCCGGATAATTGAAAGGTCCCCCCCCTCCATTCATAGATCACGTTTCATTCATAAAAGCTATAGAACAGCTGCTCCAGAAGATTATGGCAGCTGCTGGGGTGGGTGGGATCGATGGAGGAAGATTTCAGCTGATACCGGAGCCAACAGGACAAGGGACACATCTTTCTGACTGTAAGCAATGTCTCTTGTGCTGATATTTAATTTTTTGATTTTCTAACTTAAAAGTTAGGCTTTAAATTGGCCAACCAACATTGTTCTTCTAGTTTTCTTACCTAATAAACTGAAATGTGACTGGTTGCCAAGAATTATTGGCAACATTTCAGTATTGCTGTTTGAACTGCCTTATTGACTAAGCTTGCCTGTCTCAGTGCAGCACTAAAGCTCCATATATCCTCTTGTTATGTCAGAGGCATGTGAGTACTTTACACTGAATTTACTACCAGCTCCCTTCTAGCCAGAGAAGCTGTATTAGAAGGTTACTAATCATCTGGCATTCAGAAAATAGCACATAATCTGCCTCTCACTGGATTATCTGCAGCATGAGTTGTGCACCAAATACACTTCTGCTGGGCTGTATGTTCATTTGTATTCATTGTGATTTTAGCCAGCAGTCAGTAGGCTGATGGTTATAGGTGTTGGGGGTCTTCCATACAGTCAGTGCCACAATAATGAAATAGTGAAACGTGCAGGATAAAATAGCTTTATCAAAATCTCTGAATTTCAGAAGGTAAGGTAAACGTCTGTTAAATATGAAAATGTTCTATTTAATATATTACATTGAAAAAAAGATGGCTATACTAAGCTGGGCCTGCATGAACCTCTTACTGTATGTCTACAACAGCAATCTCCAAACTGTGGCCTGATGCGGCCCTTTGGGCAATATTCCATTCACTGACACCAACAAAGGGATATAATTCCTCGCACTGACCCCAGCAAAGGAGCATAATTTCTCGCACTGACTCCACCAAAGGGGCACAATTCTTCCCAATGACACTAATGATAAGGCACAATTCTTCCCAATGACACCAATGATGGTATACAATTCCTCCCAATGACACCAATGATGGGACACAGTTCCTCCCAATGACACCAACGATGGGACACAATTCCTCCCAATGACACCAACGATGGGACACAATTCCTCCCAATGACACCAACGATGGGACACAATTCCTCCCAATTGCACCAACGATGGGACACAATTCCTCCCAATTGCACAATTCCTCCCAATGACACCAACAATGGGACACAATTCCTCCCAATGACACCAATGATGGAACACAGTTCCTCCCAATGACACCAACGATGGGACACAATTCCTCCCAATGACACCAACGATGGGACACTATTTCTCCCAATGACACCAATGATGGAACACAGTTCCTCCCAATGACACCAACGATGGGACACAATTCCTCCCAATTGCACCAACGATGGGACACAATTCCTCCCAATGACACCAACAATGGGACACAATTCCTTCCAATGACACCAAGGACATGGCACTATTCCTCCCATTGACACCAACAATGGGGCATTGTCTGCTTCTACTTACGCCAGGTCATTTTCTACTCCCACTGACCACAGTCCGGCCCCCCTTAGGTCTGAAGGACAGCAAACTGGCCCTTTGTTTAGAAAGTTTGGAGACCCCCAGCTCTAAAATAACTGTATGATGCCCTGGGAACCCCTTTAAAGCTGAATTATGGCTGAAAATAATTTTTGGCAGATATTAAATGTTTATAATTTTTTCACACAAATAGAGCTTTCTTTTTGTGGTATTTAATCACCACTGGGTGTTTTATTTTTTGCTAAACAAAGGAAAAAAGTCAGAACATTTTGGAAAAAAGAAAAGTTTTTCTTGGTTTCTATGATAAAATTTTGCAAACAGCCAATTTTTCTCCTTCTCTGATTTGCGTTGATGAGGCTGCACTGATGGGAACAGATAGATTGCACTGATGGGCACTGATGAGGCAGCACTTTTGGACATTGATGAGGAGGCACTGATGAGGCTGCACTGATATGCGGCACTGATGGCATTAATAGAGAGCAATGATGGCCACTGATAGGCGGTACTGATGGGTGCTAATAGCACTGAAGGACACTGACTGGTGGCACTGATGGGCACAGATTGGCAGCACTGGTGGGCACAGA